AAAATTACTTGGGAAAAAATAGTTTTATACTAGCCTTTTTTTTTTTTTTTAAGTAATTTTGTATTATTATTATGTTTCTGAAAGGCTAAAGGACGCAGTAACTCTTGAGGCAACGAAGCCATCGGCGCTAAAACGAGGGAATCGCATTACCTGTCCCCAGACACCTGGGCCATTTATTTAATCATAGTGATTAGTGCACTTTACTTAAAGTCGCTTTGAAAAGATAAACGAATAACTGTAATTTAATATCTAATTGTAAAATGAAGTCTGACAAAATGCATTTTAGCAATAGGCTACTTTCACTTTTAGCAAGCCAAACGAAACAAAAGGTAGTCTGCTGCACGCGTCATTGCACGCAAATTAACAATACTATTAAGGTTAGGCTATTCTAACAAAATAAAGAACTGTAAAGTAGCCTACTTACAGAGTATTGCGAAATCCTTTACATCCATCCTGTGAAAATGGTGTAGACTAGACGGATTTTTAATAAATGTTTTACAGAGCTCCGAACACATTCAAGGTTAACGCTAGTTTGACAGTCTGACAGAGAGATAGTTGTTCTTATTAGCATAATAGTCTATGAGATCATCCCACATGTCGCAGCCAGGCGGAGCAGTTTCCAGTTTCCTGTATGTTTCGTGTTAAAGCGACAGTATGCTCAGATCACGGAAACTGTTTGCAACAAGTTAATTACGAAGTTAAGAAGTTAAGCTTAGAATATAATTGTTAATCTATGCACATTTTATAGATCGAGCTGCGCAAACATTGCCTGGCCAAAAAAGTCGTTGTCTGGATTTAAATAGCCAAATAGGCTGCATAAGATTTTAAGATTAAATCATTACTGCAGTGATTTACATGTTTCTTGCATGTTGTGTGTTAGGAAAAAATTTTTTAACACTTACTGATGCAGTGCGTAGCCTTTTATTTCTGAAACAACCATGTCGGAAGACCCATGCCATGGCCATGTCCACGTTCCAGGCTGACAATACCAAGATTCACCAGGCTGAGGGATTGGCCACCACAGAGTCCTTACCTTAACCCCATTGAAAGTCTTTGGGATGTGCTGGAGTAGACTTTACACTGCCCGTCTATATAAAAGTTGCACACTCTTATTTGTTGGACCGCCTTTAGCTTTGATATATATTGTATTGTGCATTCATTGTGTTTTTGTTTCAACAACGTTATGCAACATCGCAACATTTATTTCCATCAAGAGTTGCATTCATTTGGGGATCTTGTATTGACAATGAGAGAGTTAACTCACTTTGTAACATGTGAACATGATGTGTGTGATTGACTGGAACTCACTGAGGTTGGAGGTGGGAAGTTTCAACTCGGATGTTCCCACTTCTGACCTCGCCTCCAAGGTGGCATTGGTAGACAGTTTTGGTTTCACATCCTTCATTTGGCCTATTTTGAAGGATGCATCAGATGTATCCTTCATGTCCTTCAATCACCCACATTCCTTTGCATAAATTCAACTTCATGAAAAGTAATTAGCTGAAAATGAAATGGCACTGAGCTTGTCCAATTTCATTATGTATTACAAGACAAAAAATAATAATTTTGGAGATGAAGGCATTGTTCTTTTGTAAATGAATCACATAATGCTAAACTGTGCATAATGTAAAACACTGGGAGACCACAGATGTTTGTCATTACATGTATTGCATTATATAAGGATTTTTAATATAAAGATTTTTTATATAAATATATTTTTCAAATTATAATTTTAATAGTAATTTCATGCTGTGCCCGCAGGGCTGGAAACATTTATGATGTAGCCATGGGTACTTACTAGCGTTTAATGCTGAGCATCTCAAGCAAGACTCAGAAGGACTAGACTTGGAAGGATGCATTCTCAGTAGTATGCAGCCTTCCATTTAAGAAGCATGCACAACTCTGATGAAAAAATCAATGACGTCAAGGCCGTGATGTGATTGCACACATGATCCAAGTTGACCATTACACTTACTCCCATGGTAGAACTGTGGACCTTGGTAAATCCCAATAATGGCTGTGTCTGAAAGCTTAGGTGGCTGACTTGATGCCTCGCTGCCTTAGCAGACAATGACTTTGCAGGCAGCGTTTGCGCACGATGGTGTCTCATGAACCCGTTTCGGACATATTTTTAAGGCATCATAACAGGTTTATGATCTACAACCAAAATAGAGATAAATAGCAAATATTTAATTACTACAACACTAATTTCTTGCTAGAAATGACATCGAAAAAATTGGTCACAAACTGACCATCAACTTTCAGACACCATTTAAATTTTTTAGTTCAACTGTCATGGAATAGGATTGTGGGATATTAAAGGAAGTTAAGGATACATCTGCCTTCAAAAAATTATCAAATTGAGGCATCTCAGGAGAAGTGAAGCTAACATCTGAATCTCATTTTTCATTTAAGACAATCTCTTGCTGTACTTGTGCATTTGTTACTGCTGTAAAGCAATCCGGGCTTTTCACAGAATTTTGCACTTAGAACTTACATAAAACAGACATTTGGGGGGAGCGTGGGAAAGAAACAGAAGCAATTCACCTTATTAGTATCGGTGTACTATCAGAATTATTTGAAACTGGTATTTCAAGGTAAAAAAAAAGGTTAAAAAAAAAACTTTAACTAGTTTGTTTCGAAACTAAAACATAACTACCTTGTTGAAAAAAGTTTCTGTGATCCAGGGAGCATGTACACTAATATTTTTTGTTGCTCCAAAAGGAAATTCATGAATATTAATTTCAGCAAAACTTAATTCAGTAAAACGGAACATCGCAGACACCGAATATTTCAGAACACCTGCTTGTAATATCTTCTGCTGTGTCCGAAATCGCATACTATCTGAGTAGGTGCTTTTTTGAGAATATATCTTAACCAAGCCATTCCAAAGCCATTTCCAAGTTTCTGTTCTGATTTATAACCACAACGTCATCTGACAAAATCAAGATACACATCAGTTAAAGACATTGGCTGTACTGTGTGTTTACATGTAAAATGAGCACTCAAAGAAAAAGTTAAAAGTGACAACTTCTTTACAGTTAGGTTACAGTTATGTTTACATATTAATATAATCACAGTCATGGAATGGGAGTGAGCAGGTTTTGCCAGTTCTAGCTTGTCAGAGTCATTACATTGCCTTAATGCTTTAAGCAAAATAAAGAGAAGATTTGTGGAAAAGTCCTTATGATTTATAGGTGTGGCATTACATATTTCATACCGGAAATGTCATTTCAAACATTACCAGACTTCACCTTCTCAGAAAAAGTCTTACTTGTTGTTAGGTTTCAAAATTAACATAATGCAACGACTAATATTCTTACATAATTAAACCGTTTTAATGTACAATTCAGCCACAGAGTAGCTTACACTTTAGTGAGTTGAAAAAGAACAAAAACATAAAACATGATACAGCAATGACATCATAGGGTCCTGTAATAGCTGTGAGATAAAATAATCAATCTGTCTTGTAGAAAGAGAGAGAAAAAAGAGAAGGAAATTATTAAATGAACTAAACTAAAGAAAATAAATAAACTCTAAATAGAACACTATGAGACATGCAGGGAAATCTAAAGCATAACAGGTTAAATGCAGAAGAAATGAAGAAAGAGAACATTAGACAGAAAGGAAGTGTAAGAAAAATGAAGAGCAGAGAGGTGAAAAGAAAGCATGCAGAAAATGAAAAGCGCACAAGCCGCAAAATTAGTGGGAAAATTAGCTATAAGAATGAATCATGAGCCTTGTGCACAGTGAGAGTCAATGTGAAAGAAGAGTCAAAGTATCAGATTACAATATCAAAAAGATTTGCATGAGTAAAAGCACAGCAAAATCAGCCCACAGAAGGAATTAAATCGAGATAAAACAGGAAGAGAAACAGAGAAATGGATAACAAGAATAAACCAGACAGCCAGAGAATAAAAGGAAAAAACAAATAAAGCAGGAAATATTAAAAGGTGTTGGGGTAGAAATTATTATCAAAGTGTAAAGGAGATTCTAGAGACACTAAAGGAGGAAGTTTAGAAGAAAACAATCAAGTAAAGAAATAAAAAAAGAAAGAAAGAAAAAAGAAGAAAGAAAGAAAAATAAAAGGAAGAAAAAAGAAAGCAAGAAAGGCACAGAACATTTCTCTAGAGATGATAGAAAACATCTAAAAGCCTTCAAAATAAATGTCGATTCATTTTTTTATTCAGTAATTTGGCATTTAAAATTATCTTAAGCAGATATTAATGCACATAGCCTTTAGTTAAGAAAGAATAAAGTATTTGAAAGCAAACAGGAAAGGGAAGTAAAGCACACAACAGGTTAAAATAAGCATGAAAGGAGTTTAAGTGGCAAAAGAGAATAAAGACAGAAAAGGTATACAGAAGTAGTTGTTGAAGCAAAAATAGCATTTGAATGACGAGTTGACCACAAAAGACTGAACAGCGTGACTTAACAGGAATTGACTGGAGAACATCAAAGAGGAAAGCACCAGAATTTTTTGTAAAAAACAAAAACAAAATCAATGATTTTGAAATAGCTCCATAAGAAAGCAGGTGAATAGTTTGCATTAGTTTAGAATAAAGAGGTGTTTAGCTCAGAGGTAGATTACATTGAGAGAGAACATACTGTATATAACCAACCCCAGTGCCATTGCTGTATCTCACAGTATTGCTTGTGACAGCAGAAAAATTACACCCACTCGAACACTCCAAAGACACTCCAACACGCACACAGTCCTAATTCCTAAACATACTAGACAGGTTCAGAGTTTAGCATTTCTCAGTCTGGGGAAAGTTCCACTAGAGGTATCTGTCTTCATCTATTGTATATCATCCTTCAGCAGTGCAACAGATCCAGAGGTTGTAATAAAATTAGACTTTTGGGACTCTTTGTTCCTATGAGGCTCGATAACTTATGATAACTTCCATATCACGCCACTATAATGAAAGTATCTGTATGTACTGTACATAACATGATCAGCTAGACACTGGCTGATAAGTAAGTACTATTCTTTTTTTGGGTGGGGTATTTTCTTAAATTAAGAATTAAATAAAAGTCCTTAAATATAATTCATTATATTTTCAGCCTGGATTCACATTTTTTCCCTAATAAATCCTAGCAGTTTTTACAATGTCAAGACCAAACGGTTCCTCAGCAGATAGCAGTTCACACAGCAAGCGAAAGTCTCTTCGTTTGTCAGACGTGAGTCACAGAGCTGATTTTATTCAGTACGGAGTAAAGCGGTTGTAGCCTCCACGGTACAAACTTGCCTGATTGTAATAGAAGAAATAGAAGAAATCAGACATTCCGTTATATCAAGAAAGTGTGTTTAATAACAACTGACTGTATTCGCCATGTGTGGTGATTTCACACTGTAACTTACCATTGTTCCAATTCCATAAGTGGTGGTGGGTCCCACTGAGTGATGGTAGGGGTCTGTTGCTGTGGCATACACTCTTCCGTATCTTAAAATAAATTAATTAATTAATTAATTACAGTTTTTCTCAGTCGCTTTGGTGCATTTCTCAAATCATCTTTAATATTTGCAATGAAGTATGTGCATTTCTCAAAACAATTCGTACAAACAGCACCACACAATGGATTACCTGCAAAAGCCTGTAACTTACTCAAAATCTTTAGTTCATCTCTCAAAAGTTAGTATTTATGTCAATGAACATATCAGTGCCATCAGAATGAAAAGTCCTTGTGTCATTGTTCACAAACAAGATAGTCAAAATGCTTAGTCATGTTGTCAATATAACAGTGCACTCTTAGTATTACCTGATGTAAACTATGGCAACATTTTGGTTGACAGTTACTGTACTGAACAGTATGCCATATATCCATTTCAAAAGTACAAATTTACACTTTACTATATGTGGGATATTGATTGAAAGAGACACTTTTACACTTTTACTAGTGGTCTGACCAAAAACAAAACACACATTACAATGTCATTGTGATATAGAAAAGGAAAAAGAAATATGGGCACAAAGATGAAAATAAAAAAAGCTATTTCAGAGAACTGGTTTATCATTGGTTTATCTACATTCTCTTCATTAGTGAAAGTCAAGATTCACCTGCACAATTCATGCTAAATTTACAAAAAGTTTAATTATAATGTGTAAAAAATGTGCTTGACACTTTATGACAACTAGATGAACCATTTTGCATTTAATGACTTATACGATGAACTAAAGACTAGATGTTTTGAGGGGTAAGACTGTTGAGAAAACTATATAATACATTTTGAGCAACATGACGATAGCAACTATCCATTTCAAAAGTACAAATTTACACATTACTGTATGTGGGATATTGATTGAAAGAGACTGGATAGGATTCACAGGTTACACTTTACAGAACTTTACTTTTGCAAGCAGCACCTCCTGACGTGACAATCAGTCGGCCCACAGATTTTCATCTACATCACAACGAATATCTTCTCTTGCAATGCAACGTGGAATTGGAGTCAAGTGAACGATCTCACAACTTCATATATGTGGATGAGGCTGGCTTCAACCTGACCAAAAGCAGAAGGCGTGGTTCATCTTTAAATGTCATCGGCCACAGAGCTACTGTTGATTTACCAGGCCAACGGAGAGGAAATATCCATTGTCAAAATTTGTAACTCTTGTGTTGTCCTCTGTCTATGCTTTCCAATTGAAGGTTCATGAGATGCACCTTTGAGCTATTTCAGAGAACTGGTTTATCATTAGCTGATCTACATTCTCTTCATTAGTGAAAGTCAAGATTCACCTGCACAATTCATGGCAAATTTACAAAAAGTCTAATAGAACTGTGTAGAAAATATGCTTGACAGTTTATGACAACTAAATCAACCATTTTGCATTGAATGACTTATACGATGAACTAATGACTAGATGTTTTTGGGGGTAAGACTGTTGCACAGAGAACTATATAGTACATTTTGAGCAACATGACATTAGCAACTGATAATGTAGGAAACTGCAGACAAATGTACATAATCAATTGCATGAATGTACCAAAGCAATCGCGACTTGTTCAAAAGAATGAGAAACTGCTTTTATGATGTGGACAATTGACTAGATGATGTGGAGGTTGAACAAGTAGTTTTGAGAATTTCATTTCTGATTTGAGAAATGCACCAAAGCGACTAGATTGATGGATGGATGGACGGATGGACGGACGGACGGACAGAGATAGATAGATAGATAGATTAAGGTTCTTACCCATCACTGTATGTGGCTGCTGCAGCTGCTGAGGCGGACTGGGCCACTCGATATGTGGCTGGATATCCTCCCTAAAAACAGGATGGTTTATATTGCATTACATTGTTATTCATTCAGAAAACAGTTTGAATTGTAAAACATTTTTACTACATGAACTCTCCCAATGGAGCAACCTGGTGTTAGGTTATCAACTTAAAATTCATTTTGGATTTGAAATTCAATTTCAAAACATCCAAATTCAAGGTTACAGTTTCAGCAACGAGTTAGGTTTGATAAAAAAAAAGGAAATATTAGCTGATTAAAAAAGTTAATAAAGCTCTTTGGAGATCATTTTTAGTGACATTTTATTTAGAAACTGAAGTTAGTTGTAGCAGAAGTCTATATTTAGACAACAGTGCATCACAAGATCCTGGCAGTGTATTATCTACTTCTCGTAAACCAAAACTTTACCAACCCATACCTTTAACCACTAAAACCATTGTTATTCATAACACATCTTGTGGTTTTTGTTTTTTTGAACAATCAAATTTTTGTGGAAATGCTCTTAGAGATGCTGGTAAATAAAGAGAAGTTGACTGGTAACTTACATAGACCTCAGCACCATACAATCCATCTTGATACACCACTCTGCAGGAGATATAAAGTAGGTAGTAAATTTCATAATGGCATAAATTCAATAATAAAAAAAAATGCAATTAAATGTAAGCTTAATGTAAATTACATAATAACACATTTGTGCTCATAAGATTACATACCCCCTGCAGTATATATAAACATCTGTTATGTGAAATAGCTTATTCAGGAGAATACTAAATAAAAATAACATGCAATTTTTATGATCCCTCTTATTTAGTTAAAATTCTTAACATATTTGCATATTCTGCAAGGGGTATGTAATCTTATGAGCACAACTGTATGTGCAATGAAAGGTTTACTTTGCTTTTTCAACCTATAAATACTAACTAAATGTTTTATGGTAACAATGGTCATAACAAGAGCTACTGACCCTGGATAGGCTGGTACTGCGGCTGGTGTGGCGGCGGCTGCAGCTGAACGGATTGTACTGTAAACTGCCCGACCACGTCCACGGAGGGCAGAGCCTCTGTAGGCCAAGGTCGGTGTGGGAACAGGGTAAGGAAAGCTGGTGACTATTAAACCAAAAAAGTGAAAATTAACAACAAATTACATAGTCAATCTAGAGCAGGAAGTTTCTGGTAGCTATTATATTTTAACTCAAAAATGGATTAAAAGTCAAGATTAAATATACCTGTGTAAAGTTCAGGGGCGTACATGGCTCCCATTACTGGATTGATTTTCCACCCAGTAGCTACAGGAATTGACATATAGGTGAGAAGTTGAATTTTACCAACCCTTTATTTTCATACTAAAAAAAGGAGTAACAAGTATATTGCGTAAAATTTTGGGCAGAATGTTATGAAGGAATCTCACCATTCACTAATGGCGTCTGAGGCTTTTTTGTTACCACCCTCGCTGTGGCGTTGTTCACCTGAGAAGCAGAATTATTTAGTTGTTCAGTTGCTCAGTTGTCCATTCTCCCAATGCAGAAACTTATACCCTCATACCTCAATCTTCCTTCCTTCGACGATTGTTCCGTTGAGCTTCTCTCTCGCTCGATCTGCTTCCACTGCACTTTCAAATGTCACAAATCCAAAACCCTAGGAAATCAAATTGAATCCCAATTGAAACTCAAATAAAGAAGTGACTAACTCGACACAACTGGGAACCTACTGACCTTTGATCCTCTCTCATTAAAGATGATCTCCACGTCTAGAATCTTGCCAAATTGCTGAGAGATGAAAGACAGATATTGACTAAACAGTTTTCATGTGAGAGAATGGGTTTAGCTGAAGGGATAATTCACATAAAAATGAACATTCGGTATGACTGTATTTATTCTGTGAAACACAAAAGAGTTTTTTTTTTTTTTTTTTGTCCATACAATGAAAGTCAGATGGTTCCAGTGTTGTTTTGGACCCCACTGACTTTAACTGTATGACAAAAATGTGAAACTTTTTTATGAGTAATGCATTACATTCAGAACAAAAACAAATTCTATTACCCCAAACATTTGCCTGAGGTCTGGGTCCCGAAACCTAAAAGGGATATTGGAAACATGGAGCCTTTTGGGTTGAGCCTTTCCAGCTCCTTCCTCCTCAGTTCCACTTCCTGTTGCACTTCCAGATGCCACAGAAACACTGAGAGACTGTGGGTCAGATGTCACAGGCACTAAAGAATCGTCCTATGGTGGAAACAGGAATGAAAGATAGGGAGGGAGAAAATGTGGAGAAGGAGGCAACAGACATAGAAAGAATATTGAAGAGAAGAAAAACAGAAGAAACTTTAGTTTGCAATTCATTACAGAAAACTTAACTACCACTTATCTATTGTAAGATTTCTTATCAAACTTTATTGCAATCTAACAATTTACTGGGCGAAAAACAGGTTTTATAAAGTGACCACAACAAAACGCAAAGGAGCATTCCTCATCCAGTGATTCCTCTCAAGCAAAAGTGAGGAAATGTGATCAAGTTCCCATTTTAGTGAGCTGTCTAGGTACATGCCTGTTAGATTTGGACATAAAAAAGACAATTTGCTTTAAAAATAGAGCACAATCGTATTTTAACTTCAGTGAACTCACTAAATCAGCAGCTGAAAGTGATTAAAAATTACTAGCATACTCAACAATGTGTAATTTTCTGAGCGCTGCAACTGAAAGATTGTCATATGTAATGCATGGTTACACAGCATTTCCTATTGCACTGATTGTACGTGACTGTGAATAAAATGCCCCCATGCAGATCAATACATAGGAGTATTTGTGCTTCAAACCCAACACATCCACTATCCCACAATGCATCACGATGCCAGTTCGTATGTCTGCACAGCCTATACCTCACCAAACGGCACAAAACTGTTACTATTAAAAAATGGATTAAGAAGTCAAAAAAGGTGTATTAAAAATTTTCAAAAAGAGAAATAGCTAGAAGAAAATGTAGCCAAGCATAGCGTGAAATGAGGAAGGGAAAATGGTGAAAAGGTCAAAAATAAATGTAGGTAATAAAAAGGGCACAACGACTCATGTGACGTGAATTTAAAAGCAGTGGGAAAAATGTTATGCAAATTATAAGAATGGTCATTAGAACAAGAAAGAAGGACAGACAATTTGCCAATTCTTTATCTATTTCATAAGGATGGAAAAAGTTGAAGCAATAAGGCAAAATGACCTCTGCTTTAACTCATCCATAACAGATCTGAAGGGTAAAGGGCAACAAAACAGTTCTAATCTGGGCAGTAAAAAGGGGTGCATTCGGTTCATAATGTTCCCTTCCTTTCATTCTACAGTTTTCATTTTTACTATTTTTATTTAACCATCATCCCAGATGTCCCTCCTTTTTCCATCTTTCATGCTGTGCATTACTATGTTGTGATGCTTATTTAATTTCATTTTAAAATTACAAAATATTTTCTTAAAAAAAGTACTATAGACTTATATTACTATCCATTTATAGATTATTGCCCATAAATGTATTATTTATCTGTATCAGCCAGAATTTAAATATCAGTGTATCCTTAGATTTAAATATCATAAATGAAAATGTAATTAATCTTCTCACTTTCACGCCATTTCACCAGAAGCTGCATAATTACTCTGTCATTCTATTTCTCTATTAAAATTAATTTCCACTGCATTGTACAATAAACAGACAATAAAGTAGCAAAAAAGAGAAATGATGGGTGTTGTTGATCCTAGTAGGTCAAGAAGGTAAGGAAGAGTCAAGAACCGAGTGAACCCCAAAACAGAAAGTGAAAGAGAGGAGCTCTAAGAACAGGGGAATTCAAGCAGCTTACGTATTTCAGCGTATAATTTTAAAGGTCAGTTGCAAAACTGCAACAATGTATACTGCTATTCTTGGAACCAAGACAGAACATTTTATATTAATAAGGAAGGAAGAGGCAGGAAACACACGTAGAGATTTACGCACAGACACACACACACACACACACATCCACACACGCAAACAAATCATGGTTATGGTTAACTCTGAGCTGGCCGGGCTGGTTGCTAGCTGTAATGACTACCACAGCAGGTGTCACACAGAAAATACTGCTGAAACACCATCATCATCATCATCATCATCATCATCATCATTACATTCATCCAGAGACACAGGCCAGGGAGGGTTTTTGGGAGAAGTGACAGACTGGGGAAAGGTGTGATGGGAAGGTATGTGATGATATCAAGTCACGATGCAGAGTGCTTTTCTGACTGGACCTGGGAAACATAGATGAGGGGGGAGGGGTCATCCTGTCCGACTCCCCCCCTTGACCCCTCCCTCCACGGCGGCGTCTCATAGTCCAAATATCTGGCGCTCTCTAGTGGTATAAGCAATGTGGACAGAAGATGGTGTGACAGAGAAAGAGAGAACTCATTGCATGAACCTTTTCAATGAAAAAATACTTTCATGGTGAAATATTATTTTCAATCCTTCCCACAATTCACTTGGCACAACTTAAAATGCCTTCTGCAATTACTGTACCCGATGAGCCATTAGTAACACAACAATAACAATCATACACGTATATGGTGATACACATTAAAGAACATAAAGCTATGGCATGAGTCCAAAAGACAATATTTCAGTAATTACAGATTGTCAAGACAATATTTACATCTGGATTCATGACTGACATCTCATTACTGGTGTCTTAAAAAAGCATTAGTAAATGCATCTCTTTTCATTGATCACACTTAAAATCACAAGATTTTATTGACATTTATCAAGTCAAAAAGTCTTTAATTTGTTCAAGTTATTCAACTAAATTAAAGTATCCCAGATTGATTGACTGGGTAAGATACACAGTATATGACGATATGTGTCATACTGTAGAGTAATCAAGGATTATATCAGGAATTTTCAAACTTTTTAATGCCAAGGACCCCAAAATTTGATGATTCTTCTTCTGATTCTTCTATAACTCAGATTAACATGTAAACTTTGATAACACTAAAAAATGCATTTTGTAATATTTTTTTTCTCCCTTGCTCTCAAATCTTCTGCAGACACGATCACCGCATTGTGGCCCTCTGGGGGTCTCCTGACCTCAGTTTGAAAACTCCTGGCATAAAGTATTAACTGGAAAACACCTGATTCAAAATCAAACTGAATATGATTTAGCTTAAGAGTAAATGTAAAGTAGAAAGATTCGTTTTAAATTATTATTTCTTTTTATATAAACATATAATATTACTTCAAATTATTCCCTCTTAGAAAAGAGAACTAGAGTTCTAGAAAAGGAAGAAAAGGAAGTATGGTTAGTGTTTCTTCCATAATAAGCCTAAATATTCTTCTATATGGTGCCCTGAGCCAGTTGAATTGCCATACTTGGACAAGGCAAAGGAAGGATGTGTAAAGGACATAAAGCTATTTTTAGCTATCTCAGACAGGGGATCCCAGAGGACCAAAGCATGAGATTATATATCAGCAGCCTATACATATTCCTGGCATACCTTCTCTAATGCAAATACATTTGAAAAGAATACACGCTGATTGTACTACACAATTTACAGCAGTGGGACATTGCTTCCCATTGTAAAATCTTAATTTTTCATACTCACATGGGTATGCTTGGTTTTAGGTAAATTAGGTTTTTTAAATAAATGTTTGTGCTTGATTTATATATTGAGTTATTTTAGTTTAGTTCATTATTTCATACGTTAAGTTGTAAAATATATGTAAAACTAACTATTTATTTATCCACATGTACTTTAGATGCAGCTCCCCTTTGTTAACTGATGTTTAAAATAGCTTTATCTTCTGAATCCAGTCATTTATTGATTGTTCTTACCGTGTTATTGGCAGTTATAGACTCTGTCCCGTCATGCTGAGAGCCCTGATAGACTCTCAACTGATGATGATCTGAATATTCAGAGTTTGGATGAGCAGCGCTGAAATCGAGAGGTGGCAGCCGGGCAGCAGGTGTGGGTGGGCCTTGTCCAGGTGGAGGATATGATGGAGGCGGGGCATAGACCTGGGAAAGTGAAGGGTCACCATTGCCTGGCCCCGCCTCTTGGGCAGCGGCACCCTAAAATGAGACAGAGATGCTGTTTACTAACAGAAGCTAATTTCTGTAAACTCATTGAGTCACCGTAACATATGTTTTTACATTACTTTAACCCATCAAAATAATTTTAACCAATTTTAACTTTTTTTATTTGTATACAAGATTCAGCTTGTTTTTTCAAGTCAGTTTAATAGTCAGTTTGATGAAACTTTTAGCAACTGATCAGCAATATAGTTTCATAGTGTATATATTTGACATAAGTATTCTTATCAGCAACTGATTTTTCCACAAAAGTAATTTCTGGAAGGTATTGAAAATCTGCTTTTCTAAAAGAATAGTCAAAAAAGCATTTCCAACAAATCCATACTATACCGCCTTCATTTTGGTAAAATACTAAAACTTTTTTTTTTGCACCAAATAAAACTGACCTGAATTTACCGGCTATAAAGAAGCTAACATATTGTTACCGTTTTGTTTGCAGATCATAAAGACTATACAAAACACAGGTAAACCAAGTCAAGACATCAAATAAAGATCCTGACAAGACACAATGTATGAAATTAGGAGTATAAATCAGACATCTCACCCCTTCAGTGCATTCCGTAGGCGACCCAATACTCACCAACAACTGACGCATGCTTTAATGCAAAGCTTTCACCCTCCCACCCCACCATAAGTCCCTCACACCCACCAATCACAGAGCACCAAACCAGTCTCAAGAGGGGTCTTTACACCAGCTGTGTTCATTTGTTCATGTCAATCATCAACCCATTTCCCCCTCCTACTCTTTGACACTCAACAGACACACAACTATTTGGATAAAAGTTGATTCTAACAGACAAACAACTCAACTGCTCTGTAAAACTCAGTGATCCTATTCATGTTCAGTGGAAAACAATCACATTGATTGATTTATTTAAACCAGACCAACCAGATTTCTGTGACTACTGAAGTGTGTACATTTTGTATGCTATAGATCAGGTAAAACAGGTAAGATCACTCAAACACATTCAAGTAACAGTTTGCTTAGAGTTCTCCAAACAGAACTCTGTTTATTGTGGTATCATCAAGCTTTGGTTAATAGACTTTTGTGACATAAACCTCTCATTTCAGAGAGTTTTTTTAGGTTACATTACTGAGTCTTAAAATAAAGTAAAATAAAATAATAGACAAAGAAATGAAACCAATATGAAGCTTTTCACACACACACACTTTTTATACGTTTACTCTTTATCAGCTGTTTCGCTGAGCTGATAAGGCAGAGTAAATTTAGACTACACTGATAAACTGTGACACTGAGAGACACAGCTTTGATTAAATATCACCACCACCACACTTAGATTCCTTTAGCAGAAACAAAAGTTTCATGTTACATGAGTGTCTGTTTCTCATCATAGCCATTTTTTTCAGATGGGATGTTATATACCACAGTTACTCACTGATTACAAGAACATGGCATCTTACCTTCATTCCTTTTTTAAAAAACCCCAGGAGCTACTTGACCCTACCCCTGTAAAAGATTTACGAGATGTAAACAGGTGTTGTCTGAAACACTACAGCGTTTTGAGTACTGCTGACTCAAAATGTCACTCAGTGTGCCATTGCTGCTGGCCGTAGACCAACTCAAAGATCAAAATGAAGACTTCAGACTTTGGAGACTTTATTCAACAAGTACAAAGAGTACACACTTGCTGAGATATTTACGTACACTTATAACTTACATACACAACACCCCTCCATGTTCTAGTGCAGAGGATATGGAGAACAAGCATAAACGTGATATAATTGTTCAGACATAAACATTTTAGACATAAACACAGACATTTTACATAAACTGTTCTCTTTCCCGTCCTAATTCTTTGTCATTGTGAGAGAATTTAAATAACACCTCTAGCAGATAAAATGTCTTTTCAGTCACACTGATTGATAGGAGATGTCCTCCCCCTTACACACACACACACACACAGGCCTCATCAGCTGTCAGGTTTGGGGTTAAAGATCAGAGGCAGGATGCCAGGTGTGTGATCTGACAGCTGCAGGATCATTCAAACACACACACACACACACACACAGAACTGATGACAAGAACCGCTTATGTAGTCTATACTCCTATATTACAAGGCTCTGTGGAATACTTGATTCTGATTGGACAGTTGTGGCATTCTGCGGTCAAATATCTTTGTATAATGACGGCTAAACAATATAAGACTGTTTTCCCTGGCAACCAGCCTCTTAAATCTTCATCAACAGATGTTTTATCCAAAGCAGTGTTATTTTAGTATTTTTGTATAATATTATAGTATTTATTAATATTTATACATATTGCTTTTTATATTTTTATAAGTTTTAATCATTTTGTAGTCATTTTTATTATTTTCAAAAATATATATTATAATAAAACGAAAGTTTAAATAAGTATAAATAAGTTATATTATTTCAGTTTTAGTTTCAGTAGGCTAAATTTTGTAGTCATTTTAATTTTTCATTGTAGAACTTCAACTTGTCAAGGCAACATTTGTCAAGGCAACATTTCTCTATTTTATTTAATTTCAGCTTTATTTCCATTAATCAAAAGACTTTAAGACTTAATAATTAACAATAACAACAATGATCCAAAGTGATGTAAAAATCAGAATAATTCAAGCGACATTGTTTCACTCTGCAGTCTCTTGCGATGTAATATTGGTTGCAAAATAAACAATATTCCAGTCATGTAATATTCCTCAGATTAACATCAGGGTCCATTTTAGGGTTAATTTTATTATAATGAATGTCTGTTTATTCATTGCTCCATTAATAAACAGACATTCACACACAAACACAGAAGCCAAATTATACAATTTTGCACCAACACATAGATATCAACCACAATAACCACATAATTCAACTCAAACACAAAAGGTTAAATCATATATGTATAGTATGGCAGATGAATAGCAACTAAAGGAGCAGATGCAACTAAGAAAATTCCATTGTCTCAAGTCCTACTCTTTAGATGACATAATCTATCACTGTGTATCACTTCAGATAAAGTCAAGAGGCAACCTGAGACATCTATTTCTATATCTGTGAGAGGGAATCTGCAGCGAGAGGAACAGACTAAAAATACAGCGAGTGTGACAGAGAGAAAGAGCAGGCACAATGTTTATCAACTGTCCTGGAATTTCTCTCTCTCACACACAAACACACAATCACACAGCAGCACACAAACACACACTGAACCTGTTTTCAGTAGTAGGCCTGTCGCAATAATCAATATATCGAATTATCGCGCAATATATGTACATGACCTCAATAATTTTTGATGAAGCAATATATCGCAATATATATGTCACCGTGTTTTTTACATTCCAGTAGGCCTTCTTGCATTATTATGCTGTTACATTATGATTATATATTCAGTGGCATAAAATGGTCTTTAAAATGACAATAATATCGCTTATCGCAATTATATCTGGGGCAATATATCGCACAACAAAAAGTTGTTATCGTGACAGGCCTATTCAGTAGTCCACCTCGCAGGGACAAATATAACTAACAACAGGACACTGCGTCCTTCACTGGCAGAGAGAAACACATTTGATGTCCTCAGACCCATTGGTGGATGACTGTTTAGTACATAAACAAGCCTTTAGCTTGCTAGTGATTGGTTGATTTATACAACATATTACCAGACATGTGACAGAAACTGCACAAGAATTAAATAAAAAATACAAATAAAAAATAATAAAATTAAACAAACAAACAAACTCCAAAGAGAATATGAAAGAGGAAGATAAAAGAGAGAATAAAGGGAAATGTTTACCTGTACAATGCTGGGGTAGCAGGAGGCTGTCTGGGGGTAAACAGGGAGTCCGTAGGGCTGAAGGATTACTGTAGGGGAGGACAGCATGGTGCATAGCCAGAAAAAAGGAACAGCTAAAAGGGATGGGAGACTCGGGGGAGAGAGAAGGGAAGGTGAGCTCTCTGAATCAAGAAAGTACCAGACTGAGAAAGTTTAGAATCCAAACAGAAGAGAAAAAAGATCCAGAGGTATGAAAAAGAAAAGGAGAAGAAGAGTGGGCTGCACTGCACTGATGGCTGGCGTCACAACTTCTAGGCGACAAACAAAACAAGAATTAAATAAGGTAAAAATAAGACCCTCTCCAAAAGTTGAGAGTGGCAATTTAGTCTGTTTCACAAAAGGCAGAGGAGATCAGCACTGAAAGATCTCTGGGGGACACGGCGTGTGTGTGTGTGTGTGTGTGTGTGTGTGTGTGTGTGTGTGTGCCTGTGTGTGTGTGTGTGTGTGTCAGTGGGTATATTTGATAGACAGAAACACATGTTCAGAGTTGTGTTACACTCCTTTATAAATAGTCCACCTTCTTCCTTTAGTTGTGCTAGTATCACCGATAGAAATTAAACAGCTAGTCGCACAGTAATACAGAATTTAGTCCAAATTTAATGACACACATTTGCCATCTGGCATCTACTGAAACAGACACAAGCAAATGCTACCTTAAAAAGTCCAAAATGTAAAGCCACAGACATAAAAAAATAAAAAAAACTAGGAAAGTATAATGAAAGAGCATTTTGTTTTGCCTTGCACACCCATAAAGCTATCTCCACCCTATAAATAAATAAATAAATAAATAGTTTAAGGCATTTCCAATTTTACAGTGCTGTGAGAAGAAAAACTCTATTTCTAAAACTAATTTGTCTCCTTAATTGAATACTGCCTTTATGCTCATTATACCCGCCAATGTGAACCTTCAAAGGTGAGTGACTTTTTTTCTCTAGAAGCTCTCCTATAGCGCCTAATTATAACACAAATGCAGCACGGAATTAAAATCATTCCAATGTCATAATCAATTACCATTGTCAAAACAGTCCAGCAACATGGCAATCATGTTTCTCACTTGTAAATACGACTTCGTTGGCTATTCATGTGGTCGGAATTCATAAATATGATGTTTCCGATTCTACCTGAATATAGCAAGTACAAATTGTTCTGTGGGGAAAAAAAAAATTCTGTGGGAACTTACGTTAATTATCTTCTCTTCGCTCAGTTCTAGATAATAAGGCTTTTTAATTTCCTTTGTGGATCTACATAAAACTCTCTCGATTCATATTTTGACCAGTAGAGGGAAGCAGATGGAAGCAGGCAATTCATAAATCGTTATGTTAACGAAAAACAGTTCTTGCCGTACTCGCAAAGCTTTGTGGGTAATGTAGTTTACAAAGGCACGTATAAATATCCGGGAAGTCCGAGCGCACGTTCTCTTTGCTTTACGAGCCTGACACAGACAGGTAATGGCGCCATAGACCTCCGTATTTCTGTTGTAATTTCCCACTGGTCGCAAGTTTAACGGTTTCCCTCAAACGTTATTTAATGTATTATGTAGTAAGGGACAGTTTTATATGCGCAGTACCTCGTTCGTAGGTTATATTATGAGGAGAGATGAGCTGTATCGCGCTGCTTAGCGCAACGTGTTTCACAAGGCGCGCTCAGGCCTAGTCATGAAGTGACGCATTGCGCTGTTTTTCATATTAAAAAGAATCTCCACATTGAGCTGTTGAGGTTATTAAGGTTTTTTAATTGGAATTGGAATTGCTGAATCGGAATTTGGTCCCATAATAAAATATTTTGATATGAAATGTAATGTAATTACCAGTACTAGATATGTGAAGACACTGAGCTGACTGAGTGTTAGTTTAAATACATAACCACTGTTAATTTTTATATTAATTTAATTTATTCACAGGCGTCAGTAAGTCGCCATGCCGGTTGCCAGGAGTTGGGTTTGTAGTAAGACATACGTCACCCCCAGACGTCCCTTCGAGAAGTCACGTCTCGACCAGGAGTTGAAACTCATTGGTAAGGAAAACATTTATTGCAGAAAATTAATTGACCAAAAGGTTTCTCTTTTTTTGAATTTGGTTTTCTTTTTCTTCACAGGCGAGTATGGCCTCAGGAATAAGAGAGAAGTCTGGCGGGTGAAGTTCACTCTAGCCAAAATCCGCAAAGCTGCCAGAGAGCTTCTCACTCTGGATGAGAAGGATCCGAAGCGTCTCTTCGAAGGTAAATTAGCTGATTTGTCAAACTTAATGGCCAGTGATTTAAAAGTGCAAGTCAGATTATCAGTGTTGCCAAGAATTCCTCGTCAATGAGGCCATATAACCGCTTATAATAAATTAATGTCTGGTTTGTATCCATCACTCTTTTCCTCCCACTTACGTTTAACTTCTACTTCTAGGTAATGCTTTGCTCAGGCGTCTGGTGCGCATTGGTGTGCTGGATGAGGGCAAGATGAAGCTCGATTACATTCTGGGCTTGAAAGTGGAGGACTTCTTGGAGAGGAGGCTGCAGACTCAGGTCTTCAAGCTTGGCCTAGCCAAGAGCATCCACCATGCCCGTGTGCTCATCCGTCAGCGGCACATCCGGTAAGATGCTTATGTACACAATGTGTATAGTTCAGGACTTTTAACCATGTAATCTGCATTTTCCTGTACATGTCGGTGTGTGTGTGTGTATAATGGTTACCATCCTGATTGTCTGAACATGTGTATTGAGGGTTTCTTCCTCTTTCATTAGCTGACCATGTTTAAACTCCTCCCGGTGAGAGGGAATGAAATATTCTGCAAGGTCAATTCGGTGATTAAACCGTATACCTTTGCTTGTTAAAAAAAAAAAAAAAAAAAAAAAAAAAACACAGCTTTCCATGACGTCTGGGGTGCTTTATTGCATGAAACGGAGTCTACCAGGTAATGTGGGCGCTTTGGTAAAATAAGAAACTACACTTCTCTTGGCCAGTGATTAAACTTAAAACTGTCAGATTGTCAGTGGTGTCAAGAATTCCTCGTCAATGAGGCCTCGAGATCAGTAGCCTCAGTTCTGAAGTCCTGAATAGCCTTTGCACATTAGCCAAGTTATTTTTCTGATGTTCTGCAGGGTGCGTAAGCAGGTTGTGAACATCCCCTCCTTTGTGGTGAGGCTGGACAGCCAGAAGCACATCGACTTCTCTCTCCGCTCTCCATACGGTGGTGGCCGCCCTGGCCGCGTCAAGAGGAAGAACGCCAAGAAGGCCCAGGGTGGTGGTGGAGGCGGTGATGATGAAGAGGAGGATTAAACTCATTCCTATCAGGGGTTGAGGGACTCGGCAGTGCTTGCTTTTTCTCTTCTCCCTCAAGTTTTCAATAAAAAAATGGTTTATTCCAAATTATTTTGTTTTCGCTTGTCATTTGAGTAACTAGATGTTTTATATAAACCCTTACAAGTAGGTATAATCCGTATTTAAAATGAATTGCCCATAAAGGTTTAAAATCCATATTTGTAGATTTTATGGGCCATAGTGAAATATCACTTCAGCAAATTAACTGCTCTGTTTTAGAAAACCCAAAGCTGCTGGACCCCAACTAGTCTAAGGATTGTGTTGTAAAACATCTTAAGACTTGAGTTACATTGTGTGAAGTGTATTCCTGTGGGATATGGTAAATTAAAGTTCCACCTAATATTTCCTGTGAATGTTTGAGGGTTTTGATTAATTACCTGCTACATGTAAACAACTCAAAGAATAGCAAAGTGCAGTAAATGCTAAAACTATTAGTGCTGCAAACCAGTGTTTCCAATTTAATCTCAAATACCAGTTTGTAATTTAAAACAGACAGGGACCTTGTACATGCATTAAAAATGAGGTGGAATGATTAAGAAAATTGTATAATACAGAAAATATGGCTAATGAGGTTTATTTTTTCTCCCACTATGAACTGAAATTTATTTAAAATACACCAATATTTAATCACAGTTAACTGGATAAATTGCAGAAAGTTAAATTCCAGAAATGAAACCCACCTTCACTGGTATACATCAGCTATAAGCAGCCATCGAATCTATACTATGGCACTTCAAAGAAGACATTCAAATGATAATATACAGTTTATGAAATCTTATATATTCATATCTTTCTGATTGCACTTGGAGCTAGTAACAACTTACCTACAAAGTTTTAGTTAAAATATCTATTTACTTTATTGTGCTTTGCACTCTTCAATGGATCTTTAAATCTGTGGAAGGTTTTTTTGTGCTTAGGCCTCAGAATTAGTGACATCCTTCATCTACAAGTCGTCCTGGGGACTGGTTTGACCTCTTGGCTCAGTGTAGCCCACGTTGCTTGTCTGCTCGCTATGAGTGAGACAAAATACGAAACTATAGGCAACTTCTGTAGATACCTGTAAGATATTTTATGCATTTGTTCTCACCTCTCACCATCCTTTTCCAGTGTTTTAGCAGTGAGAAAAAAGCAAAGAAAAGATGGTCATCCTTTAACGTAACCACAAAAATTATGCAAAAATATATTGTTACAAATATTAAGAGACAATTGGTGTGTTACTGGTATTTGCTGACCTTTGGTCGCTGCCCTGCTACACCACCTGCCTTCTTTGGTACTCCCAAGGTATCGAACGAGTGGCTTCGTACCCTAATAGCTCTCTTAAGATGGAGAGAGATACTGATTTGAAGCTCATTTTAATGTCAAACAGTAGTAAGCACAATCCAGTAACATTATCAAGGCCTATTGTTTATTATTCTCGTTGTGGTTTGAGATTATCTACCTTAAAGTTCTCAATAAATCCTCCTCCACCCTCTGGAACACTCCTCCCCCCTTCAGTGAGGGGGATGCTGGGCTGTGACGGCTCTCCCAACATGCATTGGGATAGGGAAGACAGTTCAGACCGCAGTGCTTCCAAAAGAGATGATCGTGTACGTAACTGAGATCATAAAAGGAGAGAAATAGAAGCGCAAGTCTTGTAACTTGAGGCTATGACATAAGGGAATGATTAGTTAACATGCTTTGTGTCTGGTTACCTCCAGTCGACTGAATATCTCAGCCTTGTAGCAAGAGATTTCAGCATTTATAAGTTTGGTCAAGAGGAACTCTCTTAAAACTGAGCCCTGGAAGTGGAAATTCAGAGCATCATTCAGAGTGAGATTCAGAGTGCGACTTGCATGTTTTGTTTATTTTATAAACCTTCACATATGTGACCCTGGACCACATAACCAGTCATAAGTAGCACCGGTATATTTGTAGCAATAGCCAATTACATGGGCCAAAATTATCGATTTTTCTTTTATGCCAAAAATCATTAGGATATTAAGTAAAGATCATGTTCCATGAAGATATTTTGTAAATTCCCTGCCGTAAATATATAAAAAGGTAATTTTTGATTAGTAA